TCTTCCAATATGCTTGGTAGCAGCGTCTTCTGTATAATCGTTGCAGAAGTACAACATTGACTTCTCTTTTTGGAAAATGGGAGAAGGCAGGGTTTGGATGATACCAAACTGGCGAGATACCAGGTTTGGTTGATAGGCCAGCAGACTCAGATGAGTCTTAGAGCTTTTAAATCGAAGAGGCATAATCCTTGGAGTAAGGAATGCCTCCCACAGTATGGTGTGCTCATCAACATTGGGACCACTCGATTCCTTGGGATGTGGCCTTGTGAACCAAGCTGGCCCCACCTTTCGCTGAGCGAATGGAGCCATAGTCGAAACAAATTCCTTCCTTCGAGCGAACATCAGCACGAAGTTAGTGAAGGTTTGTTGGAACTCTAGCCCATCTTCCATAGGCGTCAGTAGAGCCAGCCTAATTCCTTCGATCCGTCTGTTAGCTATCGCTGAGGCTTGTTCATTTATCGGAGTCTTCTTGGGTAAGAAAGACTCGAAAGTGGCGTTAAGCCACAGTTGAAGTAACCAGAAAGGCCCAGCGAGTAGCAGACTGTTCCTATCTTCAATATGCTTCAAAAGAGTAACCCCATTGCTGATGGAGTCATAAAGACTGGCCAGAATTAGTTCTGCCAGACAGATGTTCTGACGGTGATGCAGTTGGGTGGCCAGGGTGACCATCTTTTTGGTCACTTGCAGGGACTTCGAACAGAACACGAAGCGAGTTAGCCATAAGGCTAGAAACGCTATGTGTTCAACGTCGGACACTGTGTCTGTCGACTTGTCATGAAAGTGGTTGATAAAGGTGGTGAATGTTGGCTTCGTCTCAGAAAAGCCAATTTGGTCCTCCGACATCTCTTCCGGGTCGAAGTAATCTCCGGTGGGTCGAAGGCCAGTGATGGCTGCTACGTCGAAGAGTGTGGGAGTTAACATCCCACATGGGAGGTGAAAGGTGAAGTGAGAGTTATCCCAGAACAGCATCGAAGCTATAAGCATCTCTGGGGAGTAGTTTAAACCTGTCTTCGACAGCATTATTAGGTCAAAGATGCCCATCTCCTTCCAGACTGGAGTTTGATGTTTTTCCAGCTTTGTTAGCCAAGCAACGTAGTCCTGGGTGAGATTAGGGCAAGACCTAAAAACTCTAACACTTCTGTTGAAGAAACGAAGGTCGATCTTCTCGTGTGTGGGGTCTTCGTTGTCTTCTGGATCCTTCTTAGCACAAGCTACTGGCTTGAGTTTCTCGACAATGGGAAAGTAGCTCTTGATCTTCAGAGCTTCAGAGATGCTGGGGTTCATGGGTCCAGCCATTGCGAAGATTTGGTTGGAGTATCCAACCGGAATCATCAAGTGACGCGAGTAAGCGTCGCGGACGGAGATATCAGATGGTTCAGGGACCCTTCGTTTCCCTGTAGCGTTCACTACCGGAGCGGTTACAAAAACCTTGGGCCTAGCAATTTGTTCAGTTGGTGCGTTAGTCTTGGGGGCAGTTGAAGCAGAAGCCATTGTTGAGGATGAAGATGAAGTTGGAAAGGGAAGAGTTTTTCTGCAAAGAGAAACAAGTTTGCAAGAAAGCAAGGGAGTTTGAGAGATTGTTTGCGTGAAAAGTCCCACAATGGGATATTCACTACTATTTATAGTAGTGGGAGAAATTCCCAATAACGAGGGCATTAAATGTCATTTAATGCTGCAGGGAGTAGTGGGACGCGTGGCAGCATCCTGTTGTTTTGGCCGTTTCTGCAGAAACAGAGAGACGCAGCGTGCGTCCTCGTTTTTTGAATTTGTCATAATGACAAATTATGAAGTGATGTTTTGGTTCTGCACGCCGTACTGACAGTGACGTCCTAGGATCAAATCAATGATGGTTTCTTGGGATTGCCAATAGTTGGTAAAAAGCAACAAAAAGTGCACAAGTTAACTTGTGACTCAGCGTGGACAAACAGGTGTCGAATGGCGTTTTCAAAGAATGCCTTTTTCTTTTCAAGAGTCGAAATAAGGCATTCTTGGGGGGCAATTTGTTGGCTCCTAAATTCGACACCTTTGTTTCAATTGATGACAGCCATTAAAAGCTGAAAGATGCTTTCGACTGGCTAAGCCTGTCGAAGTGACCGTCGAAAGATGGCCAAATACTTAGAAGATTTCTTCCAAGGAAGAAGGCTGATTGCCTTCGACGTCGAAGGAGTTTCGTCGAAGACGTCTCTTGACGAACGTGTTCGATGGTCCAGAGTGGAGCAGTTTGAAATTCAAAGCTTTGGAGGGAAAACGGTTTCCAGCAGTTACTACGTGCGAACGTGCAAGGATCTGGGGCGTCGAGCATGGAGAACGTGACAAGTGGCTTGATCTCGAAGCAGTGTAACTGCCCGACGGTTACTTGGAATGTTTTTGTATAAATAGGAGTAGACGTGTAGTTTCTCGCGTGTGTTCACAATAAATACATAGTCACTCATTTAGATTCAAGTACCCAGTGTGAGCGAACGAATTGTTGAGAAATGTATGTGTGAAACACCAATTTAATCAATTCAAGTCATTTACTTTTTCAGTATTTTACATGCTTTTCCCTTTAAGATTCCTGTCGAACCTTTACATTCCAGCCTTGTTTATTTTACCAAGCCTTTTCCTTTATGCAATTTACTTTAACCAATTTACTTAAAGCCTTATCCACATGAATTAAACTTCAAAATCAACCTATGTCCATAGGATCAATCTGATCGATCCTGCGAGTAACCAAATAAGTAACCATTTGGAGGATCAGCGGTTGTTTACCAAATCCCCAGGTAAACACCTGTTAGGAATTTTTTATTCATTTTGGGGTGGATACTTTTACATTTGATATCCATCATTTGATTGTTACCTTTGTTTTGATGTTGTTACATCGTTTGACTTGTTATGCCATGCTCCCTTAGGGTCTTGATTCACTCTTAGTTAAGATGCATCGAGTAGACTTTAGGTTTGTAAACCAAGCATGACAACAATTAGGTAGGATTCCCTATATCCTAACCTTAGAACCACACTTACATGATAACAAGTAGGATTGAAATCCCTTTTGCTTTGGTTTAGTTCTTGTATTGCATGTATGTAAAACTAAAACCTTTTTCTCAAGAAAACTCAGAAAAACAGTTAATGAGTAAAGATACGTATAATGTGTCACGAGCCTTAAATACATGAAGATGATTTTGGATCCGAGGCACTTGACTTGATCATCCAAGGGTCTTCATGTCATAGACTTTAGCATGATACGTATCTCAAACACTTTCAAAATTTAAAGGAAATGAACTCAAGTACCCCTAACTTTGTTGTTTGGTCTTTTCTTATGAAATTTTTTCGTAAAGGATTGTTACCCATAAAAAACACAAACAAACCAAAAACTTTGAGAAGAACTACAATGCTCTGATTCTCTATTGCACGACGGGAATATGTAGGCACGGGGTTTTAAAACCGAGGCAAGCACAATAATAAAAACTTTCTTTTTGTTTGTTAACAATTCATTCTCATGCATTCCCTTAATTTGTAAGCTTTAGATAAACACACTCTTTGATTAGAACAACAAGAGTGGATCCCGTTAAATACAACAGACATGAGAAATGTTAATACCTTCCTCTTGCGTAATCGACTCCCATACCCTTCTCTTGGTCGCGAGACCTTGATGATTTCCTTTCTCAGGTTTACTTCGATGTTTTTCTTTCCCTTCCGTAGGATAATAAATATTTGATGACGACTTCATTATTAATTATTTTTCAAGTTGCTTCAGCTGACAATTCTACTGGAGACAAGTCTTGAAGTGAGTCATTTCTAACTTTTATTTGTTTACATTCGGTAGATATTTATCTTTATGCTTTACTTGTTTACTTTAACATATACATTGTATTTTATTATTTTCCATATGCTGAATATTGCTGTTATGGTGGATACTTATTTATATAATTTTTATTTATGTTAATAAATTCCATTAAATAAGAAGAGAGATTGATTTACTTTTCTATCAACTAGGATTAGTGGTTATTAAAAAGACCAAGTCCTTTAGAATTATTTATTTTCGTAGGCATGTTACCGACCACATTATTGTGTGGTAGCAATGAGGTAAGGTTTTATAAAAACCACTTTCTTTTCATTCAATAATAATAATAATAATAATAATAATAATAATAATAATAATAATAATAATAATAATAATAATAATAATAATAATAATAATATCACGTTTTTGATTCCTCACAAGTGGGAGGATTGAAAATATTTAATATCAAAATTAGTCTTTAAACATCGACTATTGATAGTGAAAAAACAAAAAATAATAAATACTTTTCTAAAAATTATTTTAATTTTTAATATTTAACACAAACACATCCATTCTCACACACCAACAATCAAATAAGCATGCAACATTCAAATCAACCGAGTCATACGTATAAACATCATCTACATCTAAATTGTTCATGTCATACTTTAATATGTCAACCAGCTCATTTATTTTTCGCCATCTCTAATCATGAATCAACTTATACAATTTCACTTGCAAAAGCTTTACTACTTACACCAAATTTCCAACACAAGTTTATTTATTTATAATTGAATGTCTTACTTGAAGAAAAGGTTGGGTTTCAGCACAATAATAGAGATATAAAATATTGTGATTGTATGTGTTGATAATGCATTATTAGATTAAAAAATCAATAAATATACTAAAGTGACACTCGTGTACCATCTAATGCATTCCACGCTAGCCATTATAAATAAATAAATAATAACCAGATTACGAATAAATATAAATGAGTTAATTAAAATAAATAAAAATAGTAAGATATTTAAAAAAAAAAGAACACATGATATTTCTTTTTAAAAAGGAATGACAGTTAATGTACCGTGGTTGATTCCTGGTCAAGAAAAGATAGTTTGGTTGAAAACACGTAGTTCGCGTGAGACTCTCTTAAAGAATATATAAATCATCTTTATTCTATCTGAGAGTAAACAAAGCGGTAACAAAAACAGAGGCAAAAGAAGAACTTCTCCGATCTACGATGTCGACGACTGTAGCAGAAACGAAACCCAAAACGAAGATCGTGTGCACGCTCGGACCTGCATCTAGGTCTGTACCGATGGTTGAGAAGCTTCTGCGAGCAGGTATGAACGTTGCTCGCTTCAACTTCTCCCATGGCTCCCACGAGTATCATCAGGAAACCCTAGATAATCTGAGAGCCGCCATGGAGAACACCGGTATTCTCTGCGCCGTCATGCTCGACACTAAGGCACGATATTTTTTTATTTTATTTTATTATACATCTTGAGTTTTCCTTTCATGATTGTTAATGTTTCTGATTTCAATAGAGTTAGTATCTGATGTTAGAACTTAAGTTAGCTAGTTGATCTCTAAACATGTATGGATAAGTTCAAATTTAACCTATTAATACTGACCTTACATGGCGGAACGATAAGATTAGGTCTTGTTGGAAAAGGATAAAATGAACTCAAATTATTTGCATATAAGCTATAAGCTGTTTTTATAACCTATTTATGGAAATAAGTCGAAAACAAGACCTGTCATAAGTTGTTTCTTATACAGGTCTAAAGAGTCTCATAAGCTATGAAGCACATACACATTTAGGAGTATGTGTCGCAGTGGTGTGTGACCCTCGTATGACACATGTCAGAAAATTCAGACAAATGTCCTTAAATCAATGATTTATATTCTTTGCTTCCACACTCTTTAAATCGGTGTCCGACACCTGCATGACACTCATACAACACGTGTCACCCAATTTTGATCGGTATATTTTAACTCTTTTAGAAATAGATGGGTCAATGAAGTTTAAACACTATCATATATGTAGCAGTGTTGGTATCCTATGTTTTTGACATTATCGGTGTTGGAGTGTCCGTGTCGTGTTGTGTTCTGGTATCCGTGTCAGAGTCTGTGCTTGATAGCTCACGAGTGTTTGTGTGACCTATATATAAGCTCAAATAAGTCAATTCAAATAGATTTAAATTGTTGTAAAACTATTGCTCTACATCGTACTAATAGTAATATAAAACATCTCAAATTCCTGATTCTTACTTGATTCTTAATCTTATAGTTAAGAATCTATTTTTTGGTGAGTATTGTCATTTGAGGGAGATGGGATAAATGCCACATATAAGAATTCATTGTAGAAGTTATAGGGTGGCTTGTGGGACTCATTTGAAATTCTTAAATAGGTGTATTGATGGAGTGGAAAGATTTTAAGGTTCTTACAACTGATCCAGTATAGTAGGCTCATAATAATGAAGTTAAAGAACAATTTGATGGTATTCACCATTGGAGATGTTATAAGTTTTTTTATCAAATGAAAAGTGAAAGGAAGTGATCTTCTTTTCAATCATACATGGATGCCTAATATTAAATTTAAGTTAAACATGCCCCAGTGCTCTATTTTCAAGTTCCTTACCTTTCTTTATATGTATCTACTTACACTGCTGCAGGGGCCTGAGATTCGAACTGGATTTCTCAAGGATGGTAAGCCTATCCAATTGAAACTAGGCCATGAGATAACTGTTTCAACTGACTATAGCTTAAAGGGTGATGAGAATACGATCTGTATGAGCTACAAAAAGTTGGCCCATGATGTGAAGCCCGGGAGTGTCATACTCTGCGCAGATGGAACCATATCATTTACAGTTTTAACATGTGACAAAGAACAGGGTTTGGTTCGGTGCCGCTGTGAGAATTCTGCTGTTCTAGGAGAGAGGAAGAATGTTAATCTGCCTGGAGTCGTAGTGGATCTCCCAACTTTGACTGAGAAAGACAAGGAAGATATAATGGTTTGGGGAGTTCCCAATAAAATTGACATGATTGCGCTTTCTTTCGTTCGAAAGGGTTCTGATCTGGTGCAAGTTCGGAAGTTGCTAGGAAAGCATGCTAAGAACATTCTTCTCATGTCAAAGGTATGTCAATATGGTATATTAAGGATTTCTGGTTTTATCTCATGGAAAAGATATGTGATTATTGATCGGTTTAAAAATGTTTGAAGAGTTCTGAAATATACATGATCACATGATATCATAGAGATGCTTATTGCATCCTCATTGTTGTATGCTATTGGACATCATCTAACAATATTTCGGATGCTCTTAAAAGAAAACTATCTTTTGAGTTCCTACTGATACTTGCTATCTTTAGTATGTCTTATGTTTTTAAAGACTAGTTGTTTTTTTTCTGTTACTTAAAAATGAATATGGCAGGTTGAAAACCAAGAAGGGGTTGCAAACTTTGATGATATCCTTGCTAATTCAGATGCATTTATGGTGGCACGTGGTGACCTTGGAATGGAAATTCCAATTGAGAAGATTTTTCTTGCACAGAAAGTCATGATTTATAAGTGCAATATCCAAGGAAAGCCAGTTGTTACTGCAACCCAGATGTTGGAATCAATGATCAAATCTCCCAGGCCAACCAGAGCTGAAGCTACTGATGTTGCCAATGCAGTTCTGGATGGAACAGACTGTGTGATGCTTAGTGGTGAGACAGCTGCTGGAGCTTATCCAGAACTTGCTGTTCGAACTATGGCTAAAATATGTGTTGAAGCTGAAAGCACCCTTGACTATGGAGACGTATTTAAAAGGATAATGCAGCACTCACCAGTGCCTATGAGTCCATTAGAGAGTCTAGCTTCTTCTGCTGTTAGAACAGCCAACTCAGCTAGAGCAGCTCTCATATTGGTTTTAACTCGAGGAGGGACTACTGCAAAGTTGGTGGCTAAATACAGGCCAGGCACACCAATTCTTTCTGTTGTCGTTCCTGAACTTACGACTGATACCTTTGATTGGTCATGCAGTGATGAGTCCCCTGCAAGACATAGCTTGATATTCCGAGGATTGATTCCAATACTAAGTGCAGCCTCTGCTAGAGCTTCTCATGCTGAAACAACAGAAGATGCAATAGAATTTGCCCTTCAATGTGCCAAGACAAAGGGACTCTGCGTTAACGGGGATTCTGTTGTGGTTCTGCATCGTGTGGGCACTGCATCAATCATCAAAATCTTGACCGTGAAATGATCTCTCAAATTAAGTACTTATCTGTTTTTTTGGCTACATATTTTAATGATGGGAAATAATGAACTCATATATTATACCATCTCCAATCTACATTGGATGCAAAACATCAATTAGATGCTTTTATTGGGGTTTCCCCTATGTTACACGTCTCTGCATATCCCTGTTTTCTTATTATTGTTGAGACAAGTCGTGAACCCTTCATTTTTGAGATAATGTATGAATCTTTTGGTACTAATACGGCCAGCTTTTGGCTTTTGATTATTTTGCCGAATTGATGCAATTTACGTCTTGAATCCGAATTGTCTGGTTTCATGTTTAATTATGTTTCGTCATTTTGAAATTTGATGATAAATTGCATATCCATAGTTATGGCTTTGTTAAAATATATCCAAATTTTATATAATTCATTTTTTGCAACCAATAATTTTTCAATCCACCATTTTATATACTTAAATTTATCAAATACACTATTGAAAAAATCATATTGATAACGCATTTTATCAACCAAAAAAAAAATGCTACTGAACGAAATCTTTCCGGTAAATTTCCTGCATTTCAGAGAATCAATTGAAATATTTTCATATATATATTTTTACAATCCTATAGTTAGGCAATGATGACATCGCATGAAATCGTCAGCCTCATTGTAGAAACAAAAAGTGCCAACACAGACACAGCCAAAAGTAAGTGAGCGCCTGTTTCGATCTTTTCATTAGCAACGAATAGCGCTTAATGTTTGAGTGTTTAACTTCTTTGATTAAAGACTTGAGCAATAGAAAATTTGTGAATCAAGTAGTGACCTAAGTGATGACTATTAGATCAACAACTGCTTATGCAAGACTGTCCAATATCAGATCTCTGTTGAAACTTAACCCGACATGAAATATTAAGTTAAAGGCCTTTGAATTTGTCAAGGTAGATTTTATCATTATTTTTATTTTATCCTCCTCAAAATCAATGTTAGTATTGACTAGTAAATGTAACATATTCAAACGCTTGCGATTCAATTCAATATGAACACTAACTGATTTCATAGCATCTTTAATATCATATAAATCCTCATGGTATAGTTTTAAAAAATAAAAAAATGAAGAAAAAAAAAAGCCCCCCTCTTGACTATGGGTTCACTATCTAGACTCCTAAAATTACTGCAGAAAATAAGGCGAGAAAAACCCCAGAACAAATTCTAGGCATATTTTCCACCTACATGCAGCATTCCAAACTGCTTGCTCGTATGCAGATCTGTCAAAAACGTATATATTGGTTTCTTAAGCTCAACTTCAGACATATTAGATAGGCAGTGGTCATCAAATATTTTGGAGTTTCCACATATTGGATTGAACGAAAGACCTTGGATGTCATTTTCGTCATAGAATGCACCAGTGGCATGCCTATCTTTTGTGCCAAAACATTTACAATGAGAAGTTTGTCAACAGATGCAGCATATGATACAATAACCACTCCCAGACTGCTGCATATCAATACAGGAGTGATAGCAATGCATTTCAGTCTCTATTTTAAACAAGTTCCATCTTGTGATTTATACATTCTCTCCCTGCAAGAATAAAAACACACAAGTTACCAACTAGACAGCTCTGATTTGGGTGGGTAAAGATGTCGGTAAATGCCTGGACACGCCTAGTAAGAAACAAATGTGAGAAACATGAAGGGATGATCTAATTCTATTGAACATCTAATAATTTTGGAGACCATTCCATTTATATTATCTTCATTTAGTTAAAAAAAAAATTCAATTTCATGCTTCGTCACTTTTGCTCGAGTGAACAAGAACTTAAGGGGCAGACACCTAACCAAATCTAATCATTGTCTGACACCAGTCTAGATAGGTAAGGGATTATCGTGTAGTTTTTAAAACGGAATCATGTCTAAAGTAATGAAATTATGGACAGGCTATTTACTATTCTGAAGAGTAATATCAGGGTCAAGGTAGAAGTAACAGCAAGCTAAGGTGATGGGAAATTGCAACGTCCTCGGGACCAGGCTTGCACCAGTCAGCAGTCATACTGATTGTTGAAAATTAATAAAACAAAAAAAGTGGAGAAAGTAAACACATTCATAGGATTATTAAGAGAGTACTCTAGGAAAAGAAATCTGAAAGCCAACGCAAGTTGGCAGTGAGTTGTTATTAATGGACATAAGATTATGAGGAAAACTAGAACATCAACGTAAACGTAACCCCACATCATAAGACCATACAAAGAAGACAATTGACTAATTTTTCCTTAAATCAACTTTCAATTGAAGGAAATCACTTTAGCCCTTAAAAATATGAATAAACTAGGACACAAGAAAAGTCGTTGGAATAAAAGCATAACTGAAAGTATAAGTTGTTTCACAGTTTACACATAGCAGGTCCCTGCTAGGAATGATAAAATTGCACTTAGTAAACTTTTCTTCTTAAAGTATCAGAGTATAACCCTGATCACGCTATGATTACGACAAACATCTAAAGTGAGCACAGTTCAAGATTTTTTTTAAAAACAAAAACAGCATAAATGAATAAAATGTCGCAGCAGACATACATCAGTGTCATTCAGTATAATATGTAATAGGTCAAAATTCTCAGTAAATTTTTAATATGAGATCAGGGTAAAAGAGGTTATACGCGAAGTAATAGATTGACGGTACTGCAAAATTTAGTAGACTACACAAGGGTATGTAGTAAGAAAATACCTACATCCACAGCCTGAAAAGATCTCTCTGAGGATATCTTCTGAGAAATTCCAGTGGCTGATGTTGACCCATTCTGGGCAATGTCATGATAGGGCACCTAGAAACAACCAATCAAATGAAATACATAAAGCCGAATGAAGTTTATCAGAACAGTAAGAATATGAATAAAATATTAAATTAAATTACTATAATGAAGTTTCCTGGAAAAAATTACAAGAGATATCAAACCCTTTATGTGTGAAACTGAAACCTAAAACTGTTGGTAGGAGTGGGGTGCTCCTTTGAAACATATTCCCTATAAACAGAGTGCTCCTTGCGATATCAAGAAGAAAAAAGTGTGAAACTTCATCACTTGATTGCATTAACATGTGACTAACAAGCTAAGGAATGAGTAAAAATTGATTGGTTTGACAAATCAGGCAGAACTTTTATCCTTCTTTGGGATAGGTATAATTCAAATCCCAATAATAAGAAGTAGAAACCTAAGAGTCACCGGTAAAACTTAATGTCCTCGATAAAGCTTTATTTTCTTCCTTGTCCTTGTCATCAATGTATTTCCAATAAACTTACAGGGTCTACAAAAGAGGTAGAGTGGTAACTACAGGTTATACATGACTCTATTACCAGTTTCGTCTATCTTTATTCATTTACCCAGCAGAAAAGATCCACAACCATACATGTTCTTAACTACCAAATATCTCACTCTTACCCGGAACTCGCTTCTAGGTTAGTTATCTGGAAAATTACCTCAGGACCAAGAATAACTTCTATACAGTTATTTTCTTATCATTAGAGAAAACAATATTAAGAATACTTTTGTAAAGTCTGCTGTCCCTTCCTGTTGACACTTTATTGACCACTGGATTGTGCCAACAAGATTTAATCCAATACTGAATATAACTGCCAACAAGTTAGGGTACTGGTACATTTGAGATACCAGAGCCGAAATTGATGCCTCCCTGTAGACTGGTACGGTCTATTTAGCACCGGCACTTCTGATGGAAGGTGTGTCTGGTATCCGACCCTTGTCAATGTCCGATACCGATACATGTGATTACGTTCAATTAATTCATTTCTTCAAGTTTTTACCAGTGTCGACATGTTAGTGTCGTGTCTAGTGTACATGTCTATGTCAGTACTTTTTAGGTTAAGGGTAAAATTGCAAAGTGTAGCGTCTAACAATACCAACCGAAAATTAATCATTGAAGCAAACATAAACAGATATGGTTTTGTGAAAAAATTAGCCTACCCCGTATGCAGATTTGTTTTCTTGATTATCTTCAAACAGGGATGAGTAGTATGCTGGATCATATATAGAGCCACCAAGTATCTCATTGGAATTTGAGCGTTGCCTCGCTACTGCAGGTGTCGCAGGACTCAAGAAACTACTTCGTATGTCATAGTCTGTTGCTCGAGAAGCTGTGTCGACATAGGATGCACCCAGCCTATAAATTTGAATCCATAACAATGAGGATGATAGCCTCACTATAAAGCCAACAATTTGCATAGCCAGGGTAAGTTTCACAGAAAATATAAAAAACTTTGCATAACCGTCGGAAGAGATATTCCTGCAAACATAGAAGATGGAAAACAGCAATAAAGATTATCAAAGTAATCAGAGTATCCAGAGCATTGGCATATGGTAGCAGCAAAAGTTGTTGAGATACTCAGCAAGAATGATAAGTTGAAGAACAGCAGCATAAGTACTCACCAAATTTCGCGAGTGAAGAGAATGAACCAAGAAATATCCAGCAAAATAGAGCAAAAGAGAAGAAAAGCATAGGTACGTCCAAGACTCTGACTACTACTCTCAATTGCAACCAACGCAAACAACGAAATCGCAAGATTTATAAGCGACACACCGTTGTACGATGCTCCCAAGGATCCCAATAACGCGCACCCAATCTTGGATAAACACATTGATGTCAACAAATTATTGACAAGAAAAAACGTTATTGATCGAGGGAAAATGAAGGTGTAAAAGTACCTGAATGTAAATGAGGATAACAGCGAAAGACTGAATGCTATCATAATCGCGAATCCATGGTTGTATACGATCTCTGAAATTGAAAAAGAATGAACCACAAAGCATCATAAAAATTGAATGCGGAAGATGAAAATCAATCGGAATCGGAATGCATTATCATGATGATGATCGTTGAGGTTTTCTTTCACAGTTTCTTTTTTGGAAGCGAATCTGTAGTTGAAGGAGTAGTTGGAGACAGAGCAATTTCAATTGCAAGTTCTTGGGATGAAATTATAACCCCCTTTCCACAATTCCACCTGTAAGTCTCTAACCAACTTTT